AGAGCTTCCCATCTCACTAAATGACAATAACACACAACACAGTCACCCCACCCAATTAGATACTATGGATTTGTCTAGACTCCTCCAGATCCAATCAAGCAACAAGTCAAATTAATTTTTCTTCATATCTGTCCTTGCTTCTGTTTCCTCTCCATTTCTTCTTTTATTGCTCCAGGTCAGATATTTCTTACCTGGACTAGTCCTATAGCCTTCTAATTTTAATCTCAAATCCATCTTTCATATTGCTTCCAAACTGGTCTGTCTAAAAATATGAGTCTGAACTTATAACTCTTCTACTTAGTACCATTCAGTGTAAAATTAATATTCCCTAGTAAAGACAAGTTGTCTATGCTGTGGTTCCTACCTGCCTGGTCAGCCTCAACTTCTGGCACTTGTCTTACACTTCTGATTCTAGTTATATTGAATTATACACAGTTATAGTTCCTATTCATATATTCAAATATTTATCTTTTTTTAAAAATATATTTTATTGATTTTTTACAGAGAGGAAGGGAGAGAGATAGACAGTTAGAAACATCGATGAGAGAGAAACATCGATCAGCTGCCTCCTGCACATCTCCTACTGGGGATGTGCCCGCAACCCAGGTACATGCCGTTGACCGGAATCGAACCTGGGACCTTTCAGTCCGCAGGCCGACGCTCTATCCACTGAGCCAAACCAGTTTCGGCCAAATATTTATCTTTACCAGGAATCAGACTGTCAACCTTTTGGTGCACAGGATGATGCTCAACCAACTGAACCACCCTCGTCGGGCAGCTAACTTTTAATTCTGAGATGACTCCAGTAGGTTTTAGAGCTATGTACTTTTTCACATCATTTGATGTACATTCAGAAAACATAAAGCCCTCAATTTGGCTCAGTGGATAGAATGTCGGCCTGTGGACTGAAGGGTCCCGGGTTCGATTCCTGTCAAGGGCACATACCCTGGTTGCCAGCTCGGTCCCCAGTAAGGGGTGTGCAGGAGGCAGCCAATCAATGATTCTCTCTCATCATTGATGTTTCTCTCTCTCTCTCTCTCTCCCTCCCTCCGTCCCTCCATCCCTCTCTCTATTCTTCTCTGAAATCAGTAAAAATATATTTAAAACAAAACAAAACAAAAAAAACATAAAGAATCTTTTAATATAGTCCCAAATCAAGTTTAAACAGAAAAAGAAATTTTCATGGAGGGAAAAAAAATTATTTTAAAGCCAAATAAGTCTTGTTTTTGTAATGAACACCAACATTGTTATTTGATCACCATGAATAATTCAATGCTTTATAGAATATATATATATGTGTGTGTGTATATATCTATATATATATAATTTAAATATACTAATGACACTAAGTCACAAGACTAAGGCATATTAGAAGTACTTCTTTGATAAGATAGGGAAAATCTGTTTTGATTCAGATCCCGTAATAAATCCTTAACTTCAATTCAAGTATATTCTGGGAATTAAAAACAAAACAAAATACAGACCTGGAGGATGACCAGGATCTCAGCATTGTTCTTCTCCAGGGCTATGTCAAAGGCAGATTTATCGAACTTGCTGAAAGCATGGACATCAGCTCCATATTTGATAAGCAGCTCCACAACATCTCGATGGTGGTATTCTGTGGCCCAATGCAAAGCTGTCATCTTCAGCATATCCTTGGCATTCACATCTGCACCATTCTGTCATAGAAAAGTAATGTTTTCATATAGACACTGGTTACAACAGCACAGGTGCAAGATCCCATCACCAATACAGAGACTTTCCATAGATTACACATACTCAAATTTAGATCATGTTTAAGAAATATCAAAGGGAAAAACATTTTTCAAATTATCCTGAAGCTGATAGACACTAGGGCAAATGATAGCTCATTTAAAATAAGAAATATTTTTACTTATATCTTGTTGACTCCAGATAGTATTTACCTTTAATACTAAGTATTCTAAATTCCCTTCTCCATTGAAACTGCTCTTCTTAAAGATTATATATTTCTTTTAGTGTTTAAATCTAAAACCTCTTTTCAGTATTTATTTGTTCAATAAGCATTTACTAGGCATCTATAACTTGACAAGCATTATCTAGGCTGTGGAGATACAAAAGTTAATAAGAAATTATCCTTTCCTGATAATGGGGAATTAGGTATATCTTTAAATAATAAAATATAACACATGGTATAATGACATATGTCTAAATGATTATGAGACCATAGAGGAAGAGATTCCTAATTGCCTCCACAGGGAAGGCACTACTTGTACTAAGTTTTCAGATGAGGAATTGCTCCTGTATCGGAGGAGGAAAGTAAGTTCCTCAATGACCCAAAAAACCTATGCCATGGCACAGAAATGTGAAAGACTTCTCTGCTTTATAAACTCTCTGCTGCATTTCTTTCTCCTTCCTCTTTTTTTTATTCCTCATTTGAGGACATGCTTTTAATTGATTTTATTTATTGTTAAATATGTTTTTATTGATTCCAGAGAGAGGAAAGGAGATGGAGAGCTACACTTTTTATTGCTTACTTTAGAATTCTCTGCCCTATGCCTTTTCTACAGTAGTCTCTCAAAAATATTTAATTCACATTCCCTAAAGGAATTTAAGTTTGATAGAAAATGATCACCTATGATCCTATTAGGCAAAAACATTCAGTGGTGGGGCCTTCAAAAGAATAATAACACTCATTCCCTGCATAAGGCATAGTTACAAAGTAGGAGGATTAAAGGTTTGGAATGGACCTTTCATTGTTTTCTTTACATATTAAGTATTCATCAAAACAGGGTGAGGCAAGAGTAGCTTTACAATTGTTCATATGGAAAATAATACAATAATTAATAAGTAATAATACAAGAATAAACTCTGTGTTTCACGTACTCACAATTAAAAATCTAATTTTGCGCCCCCCCCGCCCCGCCCCGAAAAGCACTAAAGCCTTCTAAACTTCCTTTGAAAATTGCCTAAAGGTCCTTGGGAAATTATTATATTATTTTGTTCTAATTTTGTTTCATAGCTTTTTATTTTTTGAAACAATTTTATTTATTGATTTGAGAGAGAGGAAGAAAGAGGGAGAGAAAGAAAGAAACATCGATTTGTTGTTCTACTTATTTATGCATTCATTAGTTGATTCTTGTATGTGCCCTGGCCAGGGATCAAATCCACAACCTTGGTGTGTTGGGACAATGCTCTAACCAACTGAGCTACCTAGCCAGGGCCTACAGCTTTTTATATAGAGTTGCTTTATGAGAAACACAATCTAAGAGATAAAATATTGATAATGTGGCATTCATTTGTAATTTTGTGTTATTTCTTTTTTTAAAGCTGGGGCCTCCACTTTGGTGAACAAGGATATATTCGAATGGCAAGAAATAGCGGAAATCATTGTGGGATTGCTAGTTATCCCTCTTACCCAGAAATCTAGAGGATCTCTTCATTATATAACAAGTCAAGAAAGATGAAACACTTTCTCTTCGATTTTACCTGCTAAAACCAGTAGAAATAAGTGTGTCATGATCAATGTAAATATATAGTTTGACTCTTCTACTTTTTTAACGTTGCAGATCTTGAAAAATTTTGCAAAGTAAAAATTAATAATATATTATAGATATAACTGTATGAGAATTATTCACCTAATCCAATTTGTCATTGTCTTGTTTTACCTCTTTGTCTTTTTATGTCCCCTGATATCCTTTTGTAACTTGATGGAATATGCTTAATAATTATCTGTCTTTTCAACTTAGTATCATTACCACATAACATTCTTTCCTTATTCTTGGGTAATATTATAATCTATCATGAAAAAGTAAATTGTGGTATGCTGGTGATGGGCTATGGCAACTTCAATGCAAGAAACTATTAAGTTATTAATGTGGCTCAGATTGCATCTTTGCACATAAAAGCATTCAATAAATGTTTTAAATGAAGTTAAAGTAGACAAATGCTTAAGAGACTGTCTGTTTTCACACATTTTGTAAGAATTATTTTATGACCAACAATTAATATACTAATTCAATTATTAGCAATTTGGCTAGGACCTTTTTGGAGCAAATAATTAAATAAACCTGAATAAAATAACCAAACTGCATTTGTTTTAATATTTAATATTCCATTTCATTTTTATCTAATTCAGATTGATCTTTCCTCACAACTGCTATAGATATGTAGATGGGTTCTGTAAAGGCAGCAAGAACTTTAAATTTTATAAGCTCATGCCTACGACATAAAATGTGTGTGGGGTGATGTCATCAGTATATCTTAAACTGAACTTAAACTAATTTCGCTATCTCTTAATCCTTCTCCATAAAGTACATTTTCCCCCCCATAAAGTACATTTTAAAGAATAAGAATTGCTAACTATAAAAACATGGTTATCCTATATAATAAAGAGCTAATATGCAAATAGTTGTCACACCCTCGCACCCTAGCGCCGGGGCCAGGGGACCTGAGGCCAGCTGGGGGATCTGAGGCCGTACCCCCCGCCCCAGCACCTGGGCCCAGGGGACCTGAGGCTGCATTCCCCCCCGCCCCGGCGCCTGGGCCGGGGGACCTGAGGCGCGCCCCCTGCCCTGGCACCAGGGCTGGGGGACCTGAGGCTGCACCCCTCACCCAGCACCAGGCCAGGGGACTTGAGGCTGCACCCCCCACCCTGCGGGGCTTGATGGGGGTGGGGCTGGCCAGGTCTGCATCTCGCATGATTTCGAGGTGTATGCAGGTGGGCAGGGACTTGACTCTGAGTCCTGCGGCGTGCCCCAGACTCTGACAGGAGGGAGATTTTCATATACATTTTACGAATTTTCTTTCATCTCTGACACTTCTATTATAGAGAAAGGGCAAATAGCAATATTAAAATATTTCCTCTAATTAATTCCCTTTTAATGTGCATGAATTTCATGCACCGGGCCACTAGTACTATATAACTATCATCAAATGTATAGAGACACATTATCATTAAAAATTATTTAGTTAAGCTCTGGCCAGTGTGGCTCAGTTGGTTGAATGTTGCCCCATGCACCAAGAGGTCGCAGGTTCAATTCAGGGTCAGGGAACATGTCTGGGTTCAGGCTCCGTCTCCCATTGGGACATGCAGGGGGCAGCTGATTGGTGTTTCTCTCTCTCTCCCTTTCCTTTACCTCCTCTCTAAAATCAATAAAAACGTATTTTTTAAAGTATTTAGTTGAGTATTTTTTTATTTAAATTCTTTATTGTTTAAAGTGTTATATAAGTCTCCTGAGTATTCTTTTGTTGTTATTTTGCCCTTAATTTTTCAAGCACTGTAAATGGAATAAAAATATAGGTTCTTTACCTTTGTCAGTCTAATGAAGCCTATGGACACCTTCTCAGAATAATGTTAAGTGCATAAAACAAAATATATAGGATTATAAAGGAAGCTGATTATTAAAATGTTAAAATATAAATTTGTGATATAGTAACATACTGTACATGTTTCTTTATAAATGCATTAAATAACGAGTTAATAACAATCTTTAATTTGAAGTAGTGATGAGCATATTTGAAGATATCTGCAAAAACTGTAAGGTGATATAAAAATATCTGAGTTTTCTTTTGGTTGTAAAATTACAAGTATTGCTAATTTGGTTTATGAACTACATAAAAGAAATACTAACTTTCCGTTAGAGGTTAGGCCTATATGTTCATGTAGACTAATGTCACCATAATAAAATTTAAAATAAAAAAATAAATAAATCAGTTAGAGGTTAGTGAAAATAAAGATATAATTTTTTGCCCGTTCAGTGTATCTCAGTGGTTGAGTGTTGACCTATGAACCAGGAGGTCACAATTAGATTCCGTCGGGGCATATGCCAGGGGCTGTGGACTCGATCCCCAGGAGTGGTTGTCCAGGAGGCAGCCCATCAAGTCTCTGTCATCACTGATTTTCTATCTCTCTCTCCCTCTCCCTTCCTCTCTGAAATCAATAAAAAACACACACATATTTAAGAAAAAAACAAAAACCTTGTATGCATTCCTCCTGTTAATCTGTCTCTGTCTTTAAATCGTAGCCAACGACCCTAAGAAGTTAGAGGAGGAATTATCCCTCCTCTACAGCATTATTATGATTCACAGATGGGCATTTATGGTTTTGTATTTTTGTGCGTTTTTTTCCCCTATAGTTATTAATGACTCAAAATAAATTTAACATGAAGCACCATACCATAAATTTAACATGTCGTCATTCGGGGTTTGGCTCCCCCTTTGCCAGCACTGAAATTAGTTGTGATTGGGGCAAACCAGTTTTGCTTGAATAGGTTTTCTCATCTCTAACACAGGAGTAGTATGTGTTGGGAGAGACATAGTAAGAGTAAGATAGGAGAATGTGACAGCGAATGTGAAAGCTCTTTATAAACTTTAAGTGTGTGAGAAATATAAACCACAATAATTATACCAGGGGATTTTCACTATTTTTGGCCCTGAAAACAGGGTTCTAGTCTCCATCCTCTTCCTATTTGACTCTGGGCAAATCTTTTCATATATGGAATCACTGTTTTCTAACTGGTAATACAGACATATCAAGATTGTGAATTACTATGATATGTTTACACTTCCAACCCAATGTGTTTGGACATATAACAATCTGCAAACTAAGAAGTTTGTACTGCTAGACAATCTCAAATTACCTACAAGCTCTGGTTTTATTATTTTGTTTCTAAGTGAGACATTAATGATAGTCTAAACCAGCGTTTCTTTGGGGGGCGAACGACCCTTTCACAGGGGTCGCCTAAGACCATCAGAAAACACAAAAATAATTACATATTGCTTCGTGATTAATCACTATGCTTTAATTATGTTCAATTTGTAACAATGAAAATACATCCTGCATATCAGATATTTACATTACGATTTATAACAGTAGCAAAATTACAGTTATGAAGTAGGAACGTAAATAATTTTATGGTTGGGGGTCACCACAACAGGAGGAACTGTATTAAAGGGTCGCAGCATTAGGAAGGCTGAGAACCACTGAAGCTATCTGCTGTCCCCAGATAAATGGCACAGGAGAAATTCCTTACGTCGGAGACCACTAGACTAAAGCAAACTGGTTTCCCCGAAGTCACATGAGACTATAAGGTGGTAATGCACGATATGGTAGATTCAATAACAAAATCAAAGAAAACAATCCGAGATCACTATGGTTAATTAAATGGAGGTTGAGGGCACTGATCACGGCAGGAAATCTGTGCATATTGGCACAGTTAGAACATGCACTTACTTAACCTTCCCCGCGAGCATCTGGCTTTTCTAGTTGAGATGCGGCACCAGGTACTTGGGATTCCCAGCCTGCCCTGCGCTACTCTTGGCGGGAAAGCTGACCTCGACGGGGGTCAAAAGGCTACTGACGCGCTTCTTCCGGGCAACAGTTGAAGGAAAGCGCATGCGCATTGGGCAGAGCGCGTGCTTCGCGGCGGCGCTCTCCTGGTCGCTGGTGCCTGTCCGTCAGACGTTGTGTAATATATACGTTTGTGTCTGTTTTTCTTTATTAATTTCATTCGTAGTCGTAATATTTGCTTTTAAATCTCTTTTTCTGTCACCGGCTGCTTACTTTTAAGTTTCTTAGAGTCTTAATGGCGAAACATTCAGGGGAAACTGTATACCTAGTCAGAGGTCTTTGGAAGTAGGTTGACTCACGTCTCGTCCAGGCTTCGTCAGGATAACTTTAAATGTTTACAGTAAATAGACTCTTCTATGAACTTTTCTAGTTGAATTGTCTGATGAAGAAAAATGACATTGGGACCGAAAGATGGAAACATCAAAATAACAAAGTTATAGAGAAACCAGAATCAGTAAAAAACAGAAATGTAGGCCATTTTCTGTTTTCCTTTTACGGCTGTTCCACAGAGGAGGGCAACACTTTCCATCCAGAGCCGCGCTGCCAGCTCAGCGAAGGAAAGTCACCTGATTCGCTTATTTTGAAACTACAAATTTAAAACAAAAATTAAAAGATTGTTGTGCAGGGTTTGGCAGGGGCAGTTTTTCATTACCCAGTACCTACCTGTACAATGTTGTTAATGCTGGAATACTCTGAAGTGAAGAAAAATAGAAGATTATGCTTTTTTTTAAAAAAGCCTGGTAGCCCCGGTCGTGCTCGGTGGCGAGAGCGGCCGCCCGCGCCCGGCAGGGACCTGGTCAAGGGCGGGTCTCCAGGGGAGGCTCCGCTTCCTCTCCGCAATTCTACCTAAAATCTGTGGAACACCCCCCCAAAAAAGGTCTGAGAAAGAGCTTTCTTAACCCATTTATGTCAGGTTTGCTAGTAAAACGGCTTAAAATGAGGACCTTACAAAAAGGGCAAATGAATGTTTTTGAAGATTCCATTTTAAGTAAAGGAATCCTCTCGTTTGGTCACGTATCACTCTTCCTGCCTGGATAGGTAGTAAACTAGAAAAGGGTAAAAATAAGGTCTGACGTTAAAGCTTGTGTTTGTATCACAAGGTTGAATTAAAGGCACTACTTCCTCAGAAGATGGCCACTGCACAGCTGCAGGGAACACCCATGGTATGAGTTTTTCCGTATTCTAATACATTTTAATTTAGCTAATTTTATTGTTGTCTTGAAGTCTCAACTGCTTTTGTATTTGAGAATTAGAGCCAGCTGTTTGAGGGTTTAGTGATATCCGAAAACTCCCATGTTTTGAGAAATGGAGTTTTGTTTTTTTTTGCTAAACTGTTTTTTGTTTGTTTTTTAAAAAATATATTTTATTGATTTTTTTACAGAGAGGAAGGGAAAGGGATAGAGAGTTAGAAACATCGATGAGAGAGAAACATGGATCAGCTGCCTCCTGCACACCTCCCACTGGGAATGTGCCTGCAACCCAGGTACATGCCCTTGACCGGAATCAAACCTGGGACCTTTCAGTCCGCAGGCCGACGCTCTATCCACTGAGCCAGACCGGTTAGGGCACTAAACTGTTTTGAATGAATGGAG